ATTTTCAATCTCTGTGGATAATTATAACCATTTAACATTATTTTTGACAATTGTAATTTTAAATAGGCCTAAACTGCAAATGAGTAGACTCTATCATTAATGTAATGTATCATTTATTAACAAATATCACAGAACATGATCAATCTTTAAACAACTTAAATTTAGCTTTGCCTTTGTTTAATGTGAAATTCCTGAAGATGTTTCTGTTTTTGTCATTGTTTGCTTTCTGTCTGAAAGAGAGCTCTCTGTTTTTATTTTGTTTTTTTACATAAGCCTATTTTATGCACTATTTTTCAAGCTAAATATGTAGTAACATTAATGGTTAAACAGTAATTTTTCTATTTGCAACATCAGTATTAAAAGTATCGTGCTTTATATCTGTATTCTATTGAATGGGTTTCACTGTACCTCCTGTGTGTATTTACACTAGCTTAATCATTGAGACAAGCACAAATTGAATTATGACAATGACAACACCAGCCATTAAACTCTAAACAACTCACCTTTCTTAAATGTTTATAAAAGATTATATCATTTCTATACTATTTTGCCACATACAGAGTAGACGGCAAGGTATAATCATTGTTAGTCATTTTAATAAAGCTTAGTTTCACACAGTGCAACCAATTATGCTCAGTAACACTATTAAACTGGCTAAGAGAAAATGAATTACAAATAAACAAGGTCCAAGTTATCAGCAAACGCTAATTACTATAAAAGAGACAATTAAATTTTTTTATAAGAAATGTAGGCAGTAGATGTACTGTAGACTGCATTTATGTAGTTTACAGTGTTTTATTGTAAGAAATCACTCCTTGATCTTATAACATCCATGAAATGTTTATATCACAGCCACCTACTCTTCCAATCACAAAAATACACTGAACAAAATTATAAAACACAACATTTTGTTTTTGCCCCCATTTTTCATGAGCTGAGCTCAAAGATCTAAGACTTTTTCTATGTACACAAAAGCCCTATTTCTCTCAAATATTGTTCACAAATCTGTCTAAATCTGTGTTAGTGAGCACTTCTTTGCCGAGATTTTCCATCCACCTCACAGGTGTGGCATATCAAGATGCTGATTAGACAGCCTGATTATTGCACAGGTGTGCCTTAAAAGGCCACTCTAAAATGTGCAGTTTTATCACACAGCACAATGCCACAGATGTTGCAAGTTTTGAGGGAGCGTGCAGTTGGCATGCTGACTGCAGGAATGTCCACCAGAGCTGTTGCCCGTGAACTGAATGTTCATTTCACTACCATAAGCCGTCTCCAAAGGAGTTTCAGAGAATTTGGCAGTACATCTCACAACCGCAGACCACGTGTAACCACACCAGCCCAAACCAAAGAATTTCTGCACAAACTGTCAGAAACCGTCTCAGGGAAGCTCATCTGCATGCTCGTCGTCCTCATCGGGGTCTCGACTTGACTGCAGTTTGTCGTCGTAACCGACTTGAGTGGGCAAATGCTCACATTCGATGGCGTCTGGCACTTTGGAGAGGTGTTCTCTTCACGGATGAATCCCAGTTTTCACTGTACACTCATAAAAATAAAGGTGCTTCACGATGCCATAGAAGAACCTTTTTGTCTAAATGGTTCCATAAAGAACCTTTAACATCTGAAGAACCTTTCTGTTTCACAAAAGGTTCTTTAAGGCGAAATAAGGTTCTTCAGATTACAAAAAGGTAAGAAAGAGATGGTTCTTTAAAGAACCTTTGAGTTGTTGTTTTTTTTTCCAAATGCAATAAATCCATTGAATCAATATAAAAGTTATTTTTCATATTGAAACTGTTGAAAATACACAACATAGTAAGTTGATCCACATATGACAGCCTCTGAACTTGGTAAATATATCTTATATACAGGCAACTGGACTAAAAATAATCAGTCATCGCTCCCAAAATGAATTCAACGGGTCATCTTGTTAATGCTATAAATGAATTACAACAATAAAAGAAAATTTCATCATGAACATACATGAACAACAATATCACATTAAACCACAGAAATTCCAAAATGACATTCCCTTACATTCAACTTCCATAAGTGCATTCATCTTTGCCATGTTACATTCATTTAGTTGACTAGTGCTATATGCTGTATTAACAAAAACATAAATGGCATAAATAAAAACACTTACACTGACAAGCTACGCAATATCGCGTTCATAATCGAATGCGACTCATCTGTGATTAGGAACGCGATATAGCAGTGATCTACGGCTCTGTGTATTAAATGCTGCTCCATCTGAAAGCACGTGATGGAGATTTACTATTAATCACAGAACCGGCTTTACTGACGAGATGCGCATGACAATCACATGCGATTTATCGTGTAGCCCTAAGTTTGTTTGTTGATCACAAAGTACAAAGTAGATGAGGAAAACTAGGATGCCGGGTGAATTCAAAGCACTGCCATTACTGTTAACAGTGCGTGGAATGGTGCGCTGTGATTGGTTGAGTGGATATATTGCATTCTGCAGAGAAGGTAGACTGGTGTTTGTCGCGGTTTGTAAAGAAAGGGAGAAAACATGACAGAATAACTCGGCGGATAACGCATTTTGTGTAAAATTAAAAATTTACTTTTCAATACCGACCAGATACAATACTGATTTTGGCGGAAACTTAATAAAAAAAAAAATTATTCATATAAATACACACACATAGTATATATTTTGAAAATATTTACATGTATATACATTTATATATTAATATTATTATATTTTATATAAATATATTTAATATATAAACATAACATATTTTTCTTAAATATATACATGCATGTTTTTGTATTTATATAGTCTATAGGCCTACTCATAATAAATATACACAGTACACACTAATATATTATGCAAACAAAAACTTTCATTTTGGATGCGATTAGTCGCAATTAATCGTTTGACAGCACTAAAAAGAAGAAAGATTTTGAGGACAAACTTTTTTTCCTTTGGAGCAACTTGTTGGCTACTGATTAATTGTGCACTGTTAGAAAATAAATGTTCATTCTGATTTTGTGTTTGAAGTTTGTGCTCTCCAGGAGGTTCACAAATTATTTGACCGTTTTTGACTTCACATTACTCAGCATCTGATTTAATATACAAATATCACGACAGCACTGAGCACATATCGCAATAAAAAAATATGTACTTAAATGTAGTGTAACATCCACAGGCTTTTGTACTATACACAAAACATCTGATCTGTAATAGTAAGTAAACACAGCTCTCTGGGATTGATCTCTGTCCCTGAACCTTCCTGGCTAGTGTATCTCATTACCACTAAAAATAGTAAGATGACTGTAGTCAACAGTCTATTACAGCATTCATTCCCTTCACCTATTGTGTCTTCAACATGGACTGACTGCATTAGACTCCCTGTATTTGCTTTCTTTGTCACTGTGTCTGTGTTGTTGTTTTATTGTTTTATAAAAACAAGTTTCTACGTAGAAATAGTCTTGCTTTTAGCATAAGCTTTGCTTATGGCTTTTATCTGTCCATTAGTCTATGCTATGAGTGTGAGGCCATAGTTTTTCATGTAAAATCTATTTTCTGAATGCTTCTGTGTGCTTGCCAAAGCAAACTTCACTATTACTATTGCTCATACCTACAGCTGGCAAATTGAATAAACACTTCAACTTTGGCATGTAACTCATCCCGCACGTTTCTGCTATAGACATGAATGATGCAATGTATCAAATCCTGCGGATTGTTGAGGAGAGATGTGTTATTACTTTTCTAAGCAATCAGACGTGTGATTTTCACCTGGCAGATGATAAAACTGATTACAAAAAAATTGTTATTGAAGGAGGGAATGAATGTGCTAAAACAAGAATACTTCAGCAACCGCATAGAAACACCCTGGCAACACCTTTGTGGTACTTCTCACATCTAAAAATCGAGTTATTCTCTTGCTACTATCAAAGTCTGTTATAGATAGTATATAAAAACAAACAAAAAAATATAATAAAAAAACAAACAAAACTATAATAATTTACTTACCCTCATATTCCAATCACCCTCAACACTATAACTTTTTTTTATTCAGCATAACACAAAAGAAGATTTTTTTTAAACAATCGCTTTTTTCCATTCTTTGACAATGAACAATCATTGAAGCTTTCAAGGATGTAAAAGTAGTTGCATCATCTTTATCATAAAAGTTTTATGTATCATTTTTATCATAAAAGTCGCCCAAATGACTTGTGCGCTAAATTCCAAGTCAGTTTTGTGTGAACAGACCAAAATGTATATTTATAAAATGTATTATATAGTTTATATATCTCATGAACTCTCAGGAAGGCACCAAAGAAATATATAGCCTATATATATATTTATTTGGTGCCTTCCTGAGAGTTCATGAGAGAAATGATAAAAGTCAAATTTATCAACAAATCTTTCAATTTGAGTCTGATCTTTGAACCATTTGACTCGAAACATGATCCATTTCTTTAGATTCAGCTCACAGACTCAATCGCAATGGTTTAACAGCTCACTGTTGAGGAAGTGTATCAGTGAACACATTTTGGTCTGTTCCTTACACAAAGCTGTCATATGGTTTCAGAAGACATTTTAGACAGCTGTATGGACCACTTTTACGATATACGTTCATAGTGCTTAAAAGCTTTAGTTCAAGTTCATTGTAACGGCATGGAAAACAGCAACCACTATTTGTCATTTTGTATTTCAAAGTGCCAAGAACTATTTGGATTATCCTGAGGATAAGTAAAAGTGACTGAATTAAATTTTTTGGCTGAACTATTCCTTCTATTTCACCTCTCTGTTAGTCCGGCCAATAAATCACCTTCTCAGAATTTGATTTCCTCTCTGTTCTTTTTTATTTCTCTACTTCAACTTCACGTTTTTAAAATCTGTCACAATCCCCCTCTCTCTCCTCTCGTTTCTCTGTGGCCGTCTCTCTTGCTCTTCTCTACTCTTTCTTCAACTCTGTCTATCCCCATCCCTTTCTTTCCCCATCCCTCCTTCCTCTCTCTCTCAGCATGGCCGAGCAGACTTTTCATGGGATGGAATCAATGTAAGTGTTGTGAATACCATTCCTCCATTTCTGTCCTTTCGTTATTTTCCTCTGAATCACAGTAGCTGTCTCCTCTCTCACACCCCATTCCTCGGTTTGATCCATCTCTCTTTTGCGGTGACTTGTTGGTGTGCCGTAGTAGTTAGACTTTGTTGCGGACGTAAATGACAAAAGACTACACTTCCCATCATGCAAATAGACAGAAATTAAGTAGAAGGCTGTTGGGAAATGTAGTTTCACAACCTCTAGAAACCACTTTGCTAACTTTCTACCTAACTTCTCTCATCACCTCTTTCCTTTCCATAAACTTCCACCCACGCTCAAAATTTTGCATTTCATTTCTGCTCCTGCTCCATCGAAACCATCTATTTCTTCACCTTTCCTATTTTCTGTCCCATTTTTCTCTCTTGATTGCCTTCCTTCATTCCAGTTGTCTATGGAGGACACAACCTCAATCCTCCCTCGGCTGAAGAAGCAGAACTCCAACGCCTATGGAATCGGCGCTCTGGCTAAGTCCTCTCTGACAGGTGTGTCAGGTGTGTGTCTGTCCTGTGAAATGGTAAACTGACCCCATGTTGACTCCAGACTGAGCTGGAGGAGATGGAGCCAACATGGACCCTTGTGGGTTTCCCTTTTCACCACCCGTTTCCATTTACAACACTCTCCAATGGCTCATGCCATTGGTGAATTCCAAGATCCAAATAAGAATAGTTTCCTGAAAAGTAAGCAATATGCATCCCACAATGCATTGTCATACGGCTTTTCATTTTACCCTAAGCGGTGGTTGATGGGAGAGACAGGTTTTTGTATGTAAGGTGCTTGTGAAGTGTGGAGATCAGTCAGTGTGTGTCTTGTAATATTGTTGTTTCTCAGACTCCTGTATCTGTGTTTTTGTAGTACTGTTGTGTGCAGTAAAGTGCAGTGCAGTCTATATCCTTCTCTGAAAGATCCTTTTCTTCAATTTCAATAATTAATGTTCATCGTTTCATTAGGCATAACCTAAGAGCTTGGGAGATTTTAGAATTATCTCTGTATGTTTGCACTAATGCACTGGTAAAAAAAAAAAATGTATATATAGATTCTGTCCAAATGGCAAAGAGCAATTGATTTTTTCTCGGTATCTTATAGAAAGTCTCCACACAGAATTTACTGGTATTCAAACAGATCGTTACAGCCTGGCTTAAGTATATCACAGATGTAGCTTCATTGAATAAGCTGAAACTAATAAAAGAAAATGCAGGAGAAAGTAAAAGGCTATTATTGTGTGTAGATCTTCATTAGTGTGGAAAGAAGTCATTCCAGCAGGACAAATTCCCATCCCTTGTCACTAAAACTTAGTTATTTATTTTTCCATACCATAACCATCTACATCTCATTATGGAAGGGATTTTCATTTCCTTACCTCAAACAATTCTACACATATTTTTCAACAACAGAAACATTATAACACAGCACATTGGAGAGGTTGCATTGGCAGTTGAAATTTAAAACATTAAAGGATAATAAAAAATGCTTTTCATCATTTTAACAGACAAGGGTTTTATTAGAATCTTACAAATACCTCCTTTTAAAAGTGAGAATTCTAGACGTGGAATTTATTTCTAGATATACCAAGCTCTAAAATATTTTAATGGGTAGAAATTGTGATAAAAAAAATATTTGTGAAAATTCTTATCCTTAATCCTTATCTAGTTCACAAGATTGAAGTCATGTAAATTCATGCACTCTCAAAAAAAACACACAAAAAACCTGTAAATGGTACATAAATATACTGTATATATTAGTACCTGAAGTTGAAAGAGTACCATCGCAGTGACCTTTTTTGAGAGTGTGGCTTAAAAAGTGGAATCCCTGATGAACATACAGCTCTTAAAATTTATGGAATCAAGAAATTCTAATAATTTTAGTTACTTCTTTTAATTTACAGAAACTACGAGATAATAACTAGGAGAAACTAGGAAACTGTCCATAGATTAAAATAAATAGACGGCTACTTCTGCAGGTTATTTTCTATAAAGATGTACCGTAATTGGTTACTTTTTGCTACATTATGTAAAACAAAATAATTTTTAATTATTGAAAGTATTAACTTTGGTTATGTCAAGGTGATGTGCTATACTTTTATATAATAGTCCTAGTAAAAATCAGTGAAACTAAAACAATCACGCCTGTAAGGTGACATGTTCGGTTCACTTAGTTTTGTCGTGGCCACGACATAATAACTCGTGGGAACGTGATAATATGTCGTAGCCACGAGATATTAATTTGAGGGAACGTCATATTAACTCATGGGAACGTGATATTATGTCATGGCCTCGAGATGTTGTGTTGAGGGAACTTCTTATTTTCACGACTTCTTATTTTGAGGGAACGACATCCATTTCTCGTGGCCACGACTTCTTATTTTGAGGGAAGGACATATTTTTCTAGTGGCCACGAGTTTAATGCGTAAACAAACCTGCGTGACTGCGTGATTTGGTCTGTGTTTACGCATTAAACTCGTGGCCACGAGAAATGGATGTCGATCCCTCAACATAAAATCTCAAGGCCACGACATAAGGATGTCGTTACCTCGACAAAATGATCTCGTGGCCACGACATTTCACGTTCCCACGGGTTATTATGGCGTGGCCACGACAAAACTAAGTGAACCGAATATGTCACCTTACGGGTACCATAAAAAATAGATAATGATGGGCACTTTTTAAATTCAGTCTGTAAGAGGATAAAATGTGGTGCAACCTCTGAGCACGCTAGTCTATTCCCAATTTCCATGTTACATTCACTCATATACCCCATATAGTCTCTGAGCAGGTGACCTCATACTGTAAAGCTACTTCATTTTCTTCTCTTCTCATTTCCCCCCCTCTTTCTCTACATAATCTAAAAAACGTCTTCTCGCTGCCTTCTTATCTCATCATCCACCCTCTGTCTGTCCGTCCACTTCAGGAGTGTCTCGCTCTATGAAGGACAAGGTGACAAAGCCAACAGCGATGGCCCAGGGGCGCGTGGCTCACATGATTGAGTGGCAGAGCTGGGGCATGCAGACGGTGGGCGTGGGGGGCACAGGAGCAGGACGCACCTCCAGTCTGCACCTCCAACAAGAGCGCAAGCTGGAGAATGACGCATACAGCGACCTCAGTGACGGAGAGAAGGAGGCTCGCTTCGCCGCAGGTGAGAGACAGACTGTTTAATAGCTAGAAAGACCTACACAAAATCTAGTGCTTAGAAATGACTGAAGACACACAACATAGCCTACAGAAGAGCCACAATGTGGACGTGTAACAATGGGAAAGTCAATGGGAACCGAAACCATTTGGTTACCAATATTCTTCAAAATGTATCTTCAACAGAAGAAAGAACAACAGGGGTTTGGAATGACAAAGGGTGGGTAAGTGGGGGCGGATCTAGAAAATACTTTTTAGGGTGGCAAAGGGGTGGCAACACCAAAGCAAGCCCCCATGCATAGTTTTTGGGGATTTATGGTCTGACATACACAGTTGTGTTCACAAATATTGTATTACCATTAAGTAAGCATCCATACTGTTTAAAATGAAAAATAAATAACAACATTTCAATATCCATCATGGCACCAAGTCACAACATATACACAACATAAAAAACTTCAACAGGTTATAAATGTTTCTGAGCTTGTATCACTCAAGAAGACATGCGGTTCTATTAAAATTGCATAGGCTACTTAGATGGTATAATCACGTTTAGTGCAAGTTTAATAGCAACAAATATTTTTGAATTTCCTGACATTAGAAAGAAATACAATAATATCAAAGCACTGAAACTGGATCTGTTTTGAAAACAATGTTTGATTTTCTGTTATCAACAGAGGTGGGAATGTCTGTAATCACCCAGAACAAACTCTAGCAACCATATACGCAACACCCCAGCAACTGCATAGCAAGACCCTAGCAACCACCCAGAATATCCTAGCAACCAACTAGCAACACTTTAGAAAACATCTAGAACATCTAACTGACCAAACCATTTACGTTTTTTAAACAAGACTTTAAGACAAGCTTTTCAATCTAGTTATTACAGTTATTCTTACAGGGTTTTTTTCAGACTGCTTACACACATTTTCAAAACTTTGCCTCTTTTTTTCAAAACTTTACACACAAATCCAAGGATTGCACACACAAAATGCAAAATGCCTCACATCTCTTGCAAAATTAAGCACTGCATTCAAAACACATCTCAAAAGCAAATATTTGCAAACACCTTTGCCATAATATTAATTCCTGTTATATTTTTGTGTGTTACATAGAGAATTGTGTGTTGCAAAAAGTGTTATATGAAATTGAATACTGAGTCAAAGGCCGAGAATTATGGTTTTGCAGATTTGGTCTGTGGTTCTGGTGTTTGAGTGTCAGCTTTCAGAAATTGTGTGACAAGTAAAGATTTTGTGTGTAAGCAGTTGAAAAAACTGTAAATGCTTACACACAATTCAAATACACAGATGACTTTCCTGCCCAGTGAACACTGAGATCAATAACACTGTAAGAAAAAAACTCTTACTAGGATTCAGGAATTATTTTTTGCAGCTCAATGTCTATAACAGTATTCATAAATTAAATTACAGATACAGTATAATTCAACAATCATTTTCATTTTACTACTGTAAAGTAATCTTGCAGTAGATGAAAAGCACTAGAAAAGTTCAAATACCAAAGAATTGTATGAACTTGGCATGCACCACAATACAGTAGCCTACAGTAAAAAATTAAATAAAATAAGTAAATTTAGCATCCTCTGCACATTTGGCCAAATTATACAGTACTATAGCAGTTTCTTGGTCTCCTGACACAAGACTAGCTATATTTCTAGGCAGTCATTTCTCAGTTCTGCAAAAATGCAGTACACATAAAAACGGTTACAAATCAAATTTGACAGTCACACGCTCGAAGATGTACAACATGTGCTACAGTTTACTGTACATGTAGAATAGTGAAATTTCCATTATCTAATGTACTGGTACTGTACTGTAATTATACTGTATGTATAAGTATAAACCCCCTGTAGATGATTGGCTCAGCTCTCTCCTCTCTCCGTTGTTAGGATGCAGAAATTCTGATTGGTGTGTCATCAGTTTTGCTACCTAATGTTTAACTTACTCATTGTTAAACTTTTTGAAAAATGTCTTTGTTTTGAAAACTGAAAAATTAATGGTTTGGGGAAAAAAGTGCCAACTAAAATAATCAGTTACATTAACAATCAAGAAAACTGCAATACTACTAGATTCTTACCTAACTTTGCTATTAGTTTCCGTGATCGGCATCTTCTTATTGATTTCATGTTATTGTTATGGCTTATATTCATGATGAAAGTGGAGAGAGCAGTCAGAGAATCGGATCACCAAACAATTACGCGATGAATCTCAAACATATCCGGACAGGATCAGATTTCTCAGAGGACTTCTGAGTTACCTGAAAAGCAGTAATTATCTGATTCACGAACAAATGTAAAAACAATTAGTTAGTGAACTAGCTTTGTGGTTTTGACTAAAAAAGATCCAGTTCATAAGAGTCATTTGTAATGAAGCCGACTACACTGGCACGCTGCGTGTGCGTGCAACCATCGTGCAGTTTATTAAAAGACGTGTTTTTGCCATTATTTTGCGTTACTCTGTCATCACCGAGGCTGAAAACTAGCACATGAAACACTGCTTACATTTATATTTTATTCTGTGATAATTCTGGGGTGGTAGGTGGGGTGGCACAGCTTTTTCTTAGGGTGGCAGTTGCCACCCCGTGCCACCCGGTAGATCCGCCCCTGTGGGTAAGGGATGACAGAATTTCCCTATCCCTTCTTTATCCCTTCAAGGGGGTTAATCATGAGTCAAATATATGTGACCCTAGACCACAAAACATAAGGGTCAATTTCGAAATTGAGATTTATACATCATCTGAAAGCTGAATAAATAAGCTTTTTTTGTTTGTTAGGATAGGACAATATTTGGCAGAGATACAACTATTTGAAAATCTGGAATCTGAGGGTGCAAAAAAATCAAAATATTGAGAAAATCGCCTTTAAAGTTGTCCAAATGAAGTTCTTAGCAATGCATATTACTAATCAAAAATTAAGTTGTAATATATTTACAGTAGGAAATTTACAAAATATCTTAATGGAACATGATCTTTACCTTACTTATTATCCTAATGGTTTTTGGCATCTTATTGGCGAAATCAATCATTTTGACCCATACAATGTATTGTTGGCTATTGCTACAAATATACCCCAGTGACTTAAAATGGTTTTGTGGTCCAGGGTCACATATTGAGTGCATTTAATGCTTCTTTTGAAATGCTGAACTGGGTTGTGGTAAGGTGTGAGAGATAGCACTATCCATATTAAGTTCACCTGCTCCCATCTGTTGCTGAATGCAATTAATCAGACTGAATGCATCACATCATCATACCTTATTTATGACTATGAGAATGCCGGGAATGTGTCTGGGATGTTTGCTGCTATCTCTTATTCATGACACCATCTCTGAGATGAATATCTTTTAAAAATACAAACTTATTTTTTTCCCCCTTGGGTTATATATGAGGTAGCATTCAAACGTTTTGTATTGGTATGATTTTTAAAAGTATATTAAGTTCACCTGCTCCCATCTGTTGCTGAATGCAATTAATCAGACTGAATGCATCACATCATCATACCTTATTTATGACTATGAGAATGCCGGGAATGTGTCTGGGATGTTTGCTGCTATCTCTTATTCATGACACCATCTCTGAGATGACGAGGCTTCTTTATAGTATTTCCACAGTCAGGTGACAGAGATTAAGTTTCAGGTGTGAATAAACGATGGAATCCAAAAAAATTTTATTTTTTATTTTTATTAATGTGTCCTTGAATTTGTCCATTACAGACTTTAATTTAAACACAAAAGAAAAAAGTATCAAGGAATTATTTTGGATTAATTTGTTAAGCATATAAACAGTTCAAATATCTTTTAAAAATACAAACTTATTTTTTTCCCCCTTGGGTTATATATGAGGTAGCATTCAAACGTTTTGTATTGGTATGATTTTTAAAAGTTTTTGAAAGACATTTTACTCACCAAGCCTGCATTTATTTGACTTAAAAATACAAAACAGTAATATTGTGACAGTAAAAACAGTAATATTGTGAAATATTATTACAATTTAAGTGCTATTATTGCAATTAATAACTCTTTTCTATTTAAAAAATTTTTTTTTAGTCTTCAGTCTCACATGATCCTACAGAAATCATTCTAATAGGCTGAAGAAACATTTATTATAAATAATAATGTTAAAAACAGGAGTCTTTGATAAATGTAAAGTTTAAAAGAACAGCATTTCTTTAAAATAGTTTTTTCTTTTTTTTGGTAACAATGTAAATTGGGTTATATATGAGGTAGCATTCAAACGTTTTGTATTGGTATGATTTTTAAAAGTATTTGAAAGACATTTTACTCACCAAGCCTGCATTTATTTGACTTAAAAATACAAAACAGTAATATTGTGACAGTAAAAACAGTAATATTGTGAAATATTATTACAATTTAAGTGCTATTATTGCAATTAATAACTCTTTTCTATTTAAAAAATTTTTTTTTAGTCTTCAGTCTCACATGATCCTACAGAAATCATTCTAATAGGCTGAAGAAACATTTATTATAAATAATAATGTTAAAAACAGGAGTCTTTGATAAATGTAAAGTTTAAAAGAACAGCATTTCTTTAAAATAGTTTTTTCTTTTTTTTGGTAACAATGTAAATATTTTACGGTCACATTGGATCATTTTAAAGTGTCCTTGCGGAATAAAAGTATTCATTTTCCTAAAAATAAAATAAATTACTGACAACAGCATTTTGAACAACAGAGTATATTTTAATCTATATAAATCATATGTGGTCCAAACACAGGTGGTTTTAGTGGTTGAGGTTCAAATTAATATTAGTCTCAAACATATAGTCAAATTAGCCATTAATATCCTGGCTGTTACATTCAGAAGTTGAATAGCAATAACATCACTAGCATCTACAAAATACAAACAAGTATCAATACACATATATTCATAAATGCACCAGTTCTGTTCTCCCTTAGACTTACATATTCTTACTTTAAAACTTTGCTATGCTAAGAAGCTTTGATGTGTTTTTATGGCCAACAATAAACAATCTAATCCTGAATTTTGTCAGGTGTGCTTCAGCAGTTTGCGATCTCTGAGGCGACGCTGCTGGCCTGGACCTCTATGGACGGTGACAGCACAAGCGCTGGATCTAATCAGGGGAGCGTAGCCCACCTGAGCGAGGCCAACCAGGAAAGCATCACCAGCCGAGGTACTGACTACATTTCCCAGCATGCACTTGCAAGCTCAGAGAATTACTGTGCTTCTTTCTACTGCGCTTCAGGCTGGAAACCTAGCCTAAATTTGGGAATAAAGTCAATTTAGCAACAGAACTTCCACGTCACAGTGTGAGCTCTGATTAGTGCTGCAATTATTCAGGCAATGTGTTGTCATAAACCATAAACAACTTAGCCCATCTTTCCATCTCAGCTCAAAACATATGGGAAGAAGATATGCTTGAAATACATGACTAATTCTGTAAGGACTGAAAAAATTGACATTTTCTTTTGTTTTCCTTTTATTTAGTCCTATGCTAAGAGGTTTCTCTAAGAAGAAAGCTTTCCATTGAAAGCCCCCTAGAGTGAGGGTGGGATTGCTATATTGCAGCTGATTTGGAATGCAGTGCACATTGGGTTTTGAATAAATGAATAAATAAAGGTCAGGGACCCGTGACTCTCAGGAGAATGAGAACTAATCCACTGAACAGTTTAGTACAGCCTTACAGACTCACATGAGAGCTCAGAGCAACCAAAGCCATCTGCATGCCAAATGACGACATGTAACAGACAGATAATGTGATAATTATGTCAAACGCTAAGGCAGGGGTGTAACAAAACTAGTTTCACAGGCCCGGAAGTTTAGAACAAAAGGCTTTTATAAATCCAGATGGTAGTTTCTCATCAACATCTGGAACATATGTGCCACAAGTCATAGAATATAAGAATGTACCCTGATTTCCAGCACCAGATAAAGAGTAAAATATGCTCTGCTCCAGAACCTAATGTATACAAATCATCCATAGATTAGATTAGATTCGATTTCAGAGGTTTTTGGGTCTTTAGGATTTTTAAATATATTTTTGTCTATTCTCTTAGGCCTATATTTACCAAGGCTTCTGTTGGCATTTAAAACAGTTGAATATGGTGAAATATTATTATAATTTAAAACATATTTTCTATTTTTGTATATTAAAAACATTAATAATATTTATTTAATATATATTTTTTCATATATATAATATATTAATAATATATTTAAAATCTATTTTAACAATTTTTTAATAAAGTAATTTATCCTTGTGTTGGCAATGTTAATTTTTTCAGCATCATCACTCCAGTCTTCAGAAATCATTGTAATGTACTGATTATTATCAGTGTTAATCAATGGAAACCATAATATTATTTTTCAGGATTATTTGATAAATAGAAAGTTTTAAATAATATTATTTGAAATATATTTTTTTGTATAACAATGTAAGTCTTTTCTGTCACTTTTGATCAATTTAATGCATCTTTGCTGAATAAAATTTTTTGTTTCTTTAAATATATTATATTATATTATGAGAAGTATTGCTAATTTTTTTTCAATCAAAATCGTTTAAAAATGGTTAAATTGGTGGGGTAGTTAAGAATTTTAAAATTTTCTTTGAAATAAAAGCATTTATTTGATCAACAATAGAATAAAAACAGTAATATTGCATAATATTATTACAATTTAAAATAACTGTTTTCTATTTTCATATATTTTAAAATGTCATTCATTCCTATGATGGCATATTCCTATGATTACTCCAGTCTTCAGTGCCACATGATCCTTCAGAAATCATCTAATATGCTGATTGGGTGCTCAAGAAACTTTTCTTACTATTATCAATGTTGAAAACAGTTGTTTAATATTTTGTGGAAACAAGTAATGTGAACAAAAGTGTGTGTGTGTGTGTGTGTGTGGAAATTAATACTTTTGTTCACATTACTTGATCAAACATTATATACATATATATATATATATACAGTGGGGAAAAAAAGTATTTAGTCAGCCACCAATTGTGCAAGTTCTCTCACTTAAAAAGATGAGAGAGGCCTGTAATTTTCATCATAGGTATACCTCAACTATGAGAGACAAAATGAGAAAAAAAAATCCAGAAAATCACATTGTAGGATTTTTAAAGAATTTATTTTTAATCAATGGAAACCATAATATTATTTTTCAGGATTATTTGATAAATAGAAAGTTTTAAATAATATTATTTGAAATATATTTTTTTGTATAACAATGTAAGTCTTTTCTGTCACTTTTGATCAATTTAATGCATCTTTGCTGAATAAAATTTTTTGTTTCTTTAAATATTATATTATATTATATCATATTATATTATGAGAAGTATTGCTAATTTTTTTTTTAAATCAAAATCGTTTAAAAATGGTTAAGTTGGTGGGGTGGTTAAGAATTTTAAAATTTTCTTTGAAATAAAAGCATTTATTTGATCAACAATAGAATAAAAACAGTAATATTGTATAATATTATTACAATTTAAAATAACTGTTTTCTATTTTCATATATTTTAAAATGTTATTAATTCCTAAAATGGCATATTCCTATGATAACTCCAGTCTTCAGTGCCACATGATCCTTCAGAAATCATCTAATATGCTGATTGGGTGCTCAAGAAACTTTTCTTACTATTATCAATGTTGAAAACAGTTGTTTAATATTTTGTGGAAACAAGTAATGTGAACAAATGTGTGTGTGTGTGTGTGTGTGTGGAAATTAATACTTTTGTTCACATTACTTGATCAAACATATTATATACATATATATATATATAATGAATCAATGTTTCCACACACACAAAATATATATATATATATATCCTCGAGCAGTACATTATATTATGGTAAAAAGTACTGCTATTTGTATTTATGGTTATTAGTTTTATAGCATTGCATAATTCCTCTTGAGTCACCTGTATTGAAATCATTTGTGAGTCAAGTTTTTTTTTTTGCTGTAGAGCACAAATCACAAATGTATGGGGTTTCATTCCAGTAAGGATGCTGCTATAGAGGGTCTATAGAGAGAAAAGGGGCAAGAGAAGAATAAGCTCAGTGGGCAGTATGTGTACGAGTGAGTGTTGCTATGCTACATTACAAAGCCATTCCCTCAGTAAATAAAGAATCTCATTTTTGCCCTGCCGGAGGGGTGAAAATGAGTGAACACTCATTTTAATTTCACCATGATGGCCATGGGGTATGCTGAGGCAAGAGATTTCACCCACAGAAATAGAATGTGTAGTTATTATTATTCAACATTGTTTTATAATCGGATATAATTTAGAAAATATCTTGCTGTTGCATGCAGATGAGGCTGAAAAGTCACAGCATTTGGCTCAAAGAGAAAATAATGGAAATGGAAAAGGCTTTGTTATGAATGTGGGCTCAAATATATTAACATCTGCCCATTGTGTTCAATCAAAGCATCATAAAAGTGTTTTAAGAGCTTTGACTGTAACATAAACGTGAATCTAAAAGCAGCCAAATGTAAAATAATATAATTTATTCTTCTTTTTTTGGTATATTTTGACAACCCTTTATTTTATTATTCAGGAATATTTTCTTTTCTTTTAAAGACTTTAGTTCAAGGTCCTGATCAATAATAATGATTATTACATGACTCTCTATAATACTTACTTGATTTTGATTATATTGGTAATGTATTTCCTTCATATTGTAGCTGTGCTGGTTTCATTTCTCTCATGTCATTCTGAGTTCTCTTTCAGAGAACTTCTTTTGTCATATTTTCTTTCTTTTTCTCTGTCTCTTCCAGACCAGATGCACCATTCCTCTGCAGAGGTGTGGCCTCACAATTACGCACGGTGATAGCCGATCCGGCGATCCACAGCACGAAGTTGATGTATTTCCTCAGCAACCAGCACGGATCAGCTCCAGGCATGACGAAGCAGATATAGTCCTCTTTTGGAAGACCAAACAAAGTAGTTTCGCTTTCACAACGAAGCACACAGCGTCTTCACGACTTGGCGGCGGCAACAACAATACTACAGCGAGAATAAAAGTTACGCCTTCTTTCTTTGCGTGAACATTTGGGCGGTGTTATGCAAATCTTCCCACATTGTGATGTAGACATGTGGGGGCGTGTTAGAACGAGCCATTTTAGGTAGGCGTGGCTGACTCTTAACTTTTAAAAAGTATATCTCTTTGGATTTGAGACTTAGTCTTTGCAACTTAACAGATCTTCTTTATGCACCAAGAGCTTGTTACACTGCAAAGAGAAAGGAAAAATTGAAATCGCATCATATGACCCCTTTCAGATCAATACATCTTTTTCAAAGTCTTTTTAGTTGTTAACTAATGTTAACAACTGGAACCTTAATGTAAAGTGTTATTGAAAAACTAAATGTTAACAAAACTCACAATAATCCTTATAATTTATGGCCATTATGAAATTCTCAGTTTGGAAACCCAGAAATCAAATTTTTTTGTACAGAGCTTTATTATGTTGCAGAAACACTGTCAGTGTGAAAGCAAAATGTGCACCTTCATCGCTTCACATTGGTGTGAAGTAGGGATAAAAGAAGGCTCTGCATCATCATCTCCTGTATTAGTAACAGAGGAGTCATAAAATGTATCCTACATATTCCTCTGCAACAACAGTTTGTTGGCACATTAACATAAGCCCATAAGGCCGTGCTGCAACAGATCTTATATAACTATCAGCAACAGGTAAGTTACAAAACTACCAATTCCAATTAGCATCCACCGCAACGACGTCTCTTGCTCTGCTGGCTGCAGCATCATGTTGGTGTTGAACAGCACAGGTCCCAGCGGTCATTTCAACAGCAGCCCCAGGATCAGCAGTGAGAGCAGTAAAAACTTAATCAGGTTCCATCATTCAGCCATTAACTAGAAGCCATTGATCGTTACAGTAAATGAGGTCTCGCTGGAGCAAATGGGGAATATAAACAATACAAATCCCATCAGCCATTGCAATTGTAACACAACAGAGTAAAAAAATCACATTCCTGATCTCTGTATAAACCTTTAAAGATTTACTATGAGCTCTTTGATTGCTAAACGATGATATACGCTTCTGTAGAAGGCATCGTTCACTGTGATTTTGGCTTGATGTTTAATTGATTGCCCATTCCATGAAACATCACAAATAAAATCATCGAATGGAGTCAGAAAAATCTATTTGAAAATTGGATAAGATAAATAAACTTGTTGGCAAATAGTTTTTAAGCATGACCCTCACCCAATTTGTGTACTTTTATCTGAAAATTTAAAAGAATTAATTTTAGATCATTAATATATGTTTTATTTGAAAATAACAAATCTATACAGTAAAAATATTTTTAAATATATGATGATATGGTATAAACACTGTGTATGCATTTCAATAATTTTGTGATAAGCTTTATTGCAATAATATTGTTTTATAGTTTATATTGTCTTAAACTATTGACATGATCATTATAAATACTAATTTCCGATTTCTGATCAATTATTGCTATTGTTTTATGAGATGCTTAGTTAACTCCTTATAATATTTTTAATAAATATGCAGTTTTAAATAATTTTTCGCCTTTAAATCGATGTTTGTAATTTTGGGTGCTGTTTGGTTTGGTTCATGTCTTATGGTTGGTTTGGTTCATGCCAATTTATTGGAATGAATAACATGAATGGGGAAAGAGAGGCAGCTTTTGAACAGTTTTTCTATCTATTTGCAGATGTTGGAGCAAAGACTACAGAGTGCCACTCAGTCTTTACAAGCTACTCCCAACAGCACCATCCACAGCCTGCCACCCCTCACTCACCCCCCATTAGTGGATCTGTGGGGGGCAGCACAGACAGAGGCCTATCAGGCAGACATGGTGGGCTACATGGGTATGCCTGTAGCAGTAGATGGAAATCTAACAGCCCCCACAGAGGAGGTGACGACAGATCACTCACCTTTACTGGAAGCCCAGGAAGAGGAAGAGATCAAAGTGAGTGAAAAAATTTGTGCAGTAAATGACAAAAATATAAATATAAATATTAGAGATGCACCAATGTCAATCGGAATTGGCCGATAATTGGCCATTTTTTCTACACCAGATATTATTTGTAGCGCGCCACCCCAATAATCTCACAGATCTTTGTGCCTTCTTCTGATAGGAAACAACTTTCAAATTCTGTCTATTCTATCACGAAATTCAAACAATAAATGCCGCTTTGATGGTTTTAATTGTGACAAGATGGATCACCGTAGTGCCTCAGTTCAAGCGGCAGCGCACTTTAATACAAGTTATAGCGTGCACTGAACATGAATGAACATCAGAAGGTCTGTTGAAAAAGATACAGTATAGCTTACCAAAAAGTAACATGTCTCATGTAATTGCTCTATCAGTGTTTCAACCGCGGAAAGTCATCAATAAAACAGCTTGTGAACAATATGTAACTTAATGTTGCATTTACCTCTGGAAAGTTATCCAGTGTTCACAGTTATTAGTTAGCTACAAAAAAAACACTAAAGAGGAGTTTATTTACTTAGATATGTATGTTTAAATAAATAAATAAATCTGGCATAAAGACAGGTATTCTTTTATGTGATGAGTTTTATACATTTCAATTTTTATTTAAGAGTGTAATTATGATATCTGAGAATACATGGCAGTTGAATATAATAGCTCTCTTGTTAATTTTAACCTTTAATAGTATAGCAATGTACCAAATGAGAGAGTTTCCTGTATAGTACTATCGGTATCGGCAGATATCGTTCTGGATAATCGGCTAACAGTATCTGTATCAGTAGGCTGAGACATTTAGTATCAATGCATTTCTAATAAATATTAGATGAAAACCATTTACTTTAACTGAAATAAAGCTTAAGTACCAAAATTAAAAACTGAAATAAAAATAATGAAAATAGAAATAGAAAAACAATAGAAAAAAGCCAAATAGACATATTAGAAAACTAATAATGACAAATGCACATTACTAAAACTTAAATCAAAACTGAAAAAGGTCATTCAAAATATAAAAAAATACTATAATAGTACTTAATTAATAATACTACTAAATATTGTCTTAATTTTAGTAGTATACTGTATCTATTATTTTTCCATTTAAAACCTAACCTTTTTATGTGAAAAGTATATTCGTCCTTTTATGTTGTTGTTTTCATGTTTTGTTGTGCAGTAAATTTTACACATTGCTTAAATGTCCATTCTTTTGGGGGGCCATGTAGATTTTAGATATAATCTATATTGAATCTAAGTGCTGAACAGCTCCACACAGACTTATGATGCTAAGCATCAAATAGAAATGTCAAAATGTCAGCACCAAAATCTCTGGAGAATAGCATCTTGGCAGACAGTTAATATGAATTTTTTTTTTTAAATATGTATATATATATATATATATATATATACACACACAAATTTTTTTCCTATTAACTGTCTGCCAAGATGCTGTTCTCCAGAGATTTTATTTTGACATTTCTATTTGATGCTTTTTTTTTTTTTTTGAAAAAAAAAGCTATTTCTGTCAGCAGCTAGAAAAGTATGAATCCTGTCTAAGTTTTCTGTAACTCCTCTCACTGTAGGAATCAACTATGAGTCACAGTCAGAATCAGTTCTTACAGCTACAGTGTAACTTTTCCAGTGCTTTACTTTGTAGTCTGTGCCAATAGCACCACTGCAAAAATAATGACTGTTTTCAGACAGGTTTTTCAAACATTCTACCTGGCTGCTATTGGTAAGGCCAATGGATAATCAAATCAGCGCTGGTTTTGAAGAGTGTGCAACTGCGCATGTGCATAAATGTGTAAGGGAAACTCGGAGTATGACATAAGAAAAAACACGCGAAGAATCAATGAATTAGCAGTTAATACTTCACCGCCTGTGAGTGACGTCAATAATGACAGTCCTATAATGTTGAACCAGTGCGGTTCAAATAATGGAAGTGCAACTACGGTTTCGTCATTACTAGCTATTTAATATGTTCAACAAGGCATCATACAGCAGTTAAACAGCAACTTACATCGTTGTATTGGAAATGCATTCCTGGTCGGGTAGATCACACTAAACATTTTTGATAGAGCTACAAAGTTTATACATTTCAGCCTGTTCTTTGTCCCAAAACAAAACCTGTTCAAGTCTCAGATCAGCCACTAAACAAAATTACAAAACAAATGTTTTAAAAGTTGTTTTCTAATTTCGTTTATTGCCACTGTTGGCACAGAAATTAAACACTGCGGCTGTAAACAGGAAATGACACGTACCCAGTCTAATATCCAGCCTCTTTTCCAGGAGGAAGATATTACGTTATGTATGGAACCAGAACCAGTGACATTCATTCCATCTCCAGTAACGCAGAGAGAGGAAGTGACCTCAATGGGAGGAAGCAGTCCAGGTCAAGCCCCTGGAGAATTCAGCACAGAGCGCAAGGCGTCTGATGTCTCACCGTCTGTAATTGAAGAGCTTGAAGAAAAAGAGGAGGAGTCTGAATCGTCGCCTGTAGACGTCATGGCAGCCAACTAATTGGCTGGCATGAGACTTGAGCTTGTTTTGACATTTCAGTCAGCATACTCAAACAATATCAACTCCTATTTCAGGAATCAAACCCCATTGTGATGGAATTCAAGTGACTGCTCGAACCCAAAATGGAAAAGCAGAACTGAAATGACTGCACTGCTTACGTGAAAACTATGATTTTTTTTTTTGTAAGCCTTATATTATGGATGTCTGAAAAAGGAAGGCACAGAATGGGAAATCCTTGGGACTGAGAAAGGAGAGAATGAGGAAAACCAAGTTGGAGGTACGTAATTCAGGACAATAAATATGAAGAACATTCGGTTAAATATGTGCATGCTTTTACAAGGAGTGATGGCACTCGTTATTCAAAATAAAGAAACTATAGTTAATAAACCATAATGATGATAATAATATGATTATTTTCTAAGAAAACAACAAAAAATGAAATATATAATTGTAAAATAGACAGTAACACAAGTTTTTACAACCCAAGCCCTTCAGGATTTCAGTTCCCACACACCATAAGAGATCAAATACACTCAATACAACACAAATGATCCCTTTTCCTCTTCAGTTTTCACCCTGTTTACTTCCGAACACAATCCTTTATATATATAAAAAAACAAGATTTGGCAGATTATGACACTGTTGGGAGAAACACTGGTTCAATACAGAAGTTTCTGTGCTGTGAAACATAAAAATCAATTAACCGAAACAAACCACTGCACAATCTACACACTTCTGTCGGCTGTTTATTCAATATGTAAGTATGTATTCAAACCCTCATTAACTCAAGCCAATAGATGTTGTACGTACCAATCAAAAGTTTGGGGTCGGTAAGATTTTTGAAAGAACCTTCTTTTTTACCAAGACTGCATTATTTGAACAAACATGCAATAAAAACAGTAATGTTACAAAAATATTATTACTATGTAAAATAACTGTTTTCTATTTTAATATTTTTTAAATTGTAATGTATTCTTGTGATGCCATAGTCTTATCTTATTATTAATTGCATCTTTGCTCAATAAAATAATTAATTTCTTTCAAAAATCTTACTGAACGGTCAAAAATCGTACTTTTGAACGGTCGTGTACATATACAAATATATACACCTATACCTGTGATGTTCTCCCATACTGCCATACAAAATTAAAAAGGAAATAACTGAGAAAAAATAAAATTGATGAAATCACCCAACTTAATAATTTTTTAATACATTTTTAGACTTTATTTTCCACATAATTGGGTCCATTTCTATTTATTTAATAATTTATTTAATTAATTTTTTGTAGTAGTAATACAAACTTTTTCACGCACACACATGTACACACAGATATATTTCCTACTGGAGTGTAACATAGCGTGCTTCCTTCTCTGTGTGTCGTTTGGCATGCATGATGTTTGTCAGTGTCCGTGTACTCTGGAGTCCTATACAACACTGTATAGATATTTGCACTGGACCTCAGTACTCTGAGCTGAGACTGACTCTGTGAGATCTGTGTGTTTAGCGACTTGATTGGCTGCTTAAACGAGAGAAATGTTTTGGGGGGGAAAAAACTTTTTGCACTTGCATTGGTTGTTGGGTGAAAGACAGATGCCTTTAAGATTGAAAATTAACTCTTTTATGAGACAACTGTACTTGAGTTCTGATCCCAAATTTTTGTTTTTGCTCTGGTTTAGTCAAACACTGGTTTAAGGATGGTTTTGAAACATCTAGATTAATCGATCTCATGATAAATGACAATTGAGAGGAGAAAGATGGATAGGTAATGCCTCATAACCTCAAATTACTAAAATAGAAGAAAACTACAGTAAACATTTTTGTCTTGAACAGTCCTGTTGGCGACTCGTACATGTACTTGTTGTTATACTTGCAGGACCAGTTCTTGATGATTACTTTATTTTTAATAATAAAGCATGTCATAATTTCTGTTCCAAAATATGTATTCCATTGCCTACAATTCTTTTCACTATATAATAAGGGTAGAATAGAACAGGACCTGGATTCACATACTGTAAATATCCTTTACCAAGATATCAAGGAAAAATGTCTCCACAGAATGAGAATGGAAATGGACTTTGATTCGAGTTGAAAGTGACCTCATGAACAACTCAGGCCATTTGGAATTTCCGAACTGCACAGGCGTCTTCCTGTTTGTCATGGTCACTGATTATACAGTAACTATGATGCTACAAACTTTGCGTTGACTGTGTATTTATTCGTAAATGAACATGAAGCATATGCATCCCAAAGTATGAGCAGACTTCCGGTTCAGAAACAGAAGTAACTACATCATCCTGCATTGTGATGTCATGCATGATTCACCAAGGATTAAAAAAAAAAAAAAAGGACAACGTGTAGACGGTTATTACGACAGTTTCTTTAGAGGACACGTTCACCTTTGACGATTGTGTGTAATATAAACTTGGCGGTGAGAAGAAATAGCATTAATAGCTATATGAAGTGTATTGACTTGAATGAATTGATTTATTGACTGATTATTTATGCAATGTTGGGACAATGTTTATTTTTCTACAGAATTGTCTGCACTCCCTCCTGTATTTGTTGGGGTACATATTATTTCACTGCTGGACTCTTGAGGAGGCTCTGACAGATTTTTGTGTACAGTATTTGTGTACTTTTTGTCACTGAAAAAAATCATATACATTTTCTTAAACGTCTTGGTGTATGTCGTAATGTTTTAATATGATGTTTTATATTAGCTTATATAAAAATATATAACAACAGAGTCTACATCATTGCATGTAGCAGTCCAACCATAAAACTGAAACATAACTGCTATATTTCTATTCAGTGTCATAAGTTCTTATATTATGTGAAGCATACAGAACTCCAAAAGTTGCTCACATGAAATAATATGTGCCCATTTATTTATTTAAGAATTATATAGGGGAGGGATTTAACTTTGCAGCCTGTATGATATCTCTTTGTTATTTCGAGATAAATGCAACTTTGGTTGAAATGGTATCACTTTGCTTTGGTGAAAATATGTCAGACTGTACATGTGATCATTCATCTTCCTCAGTTTTGTTTTTTTTTTACCATGAAGCAAAATGATAGTCAAACATAACGATTTCTTTATCTTCTATCTTTCACAGTAGTATGTTGTTCTGCAATCAGCACGATTCTTTTCCGAAAACTTTATAAAAAAAAAAAAAAAGTTCATTTACATCACACAATGTCTTAAATAACTAAATCCACGTGTAAGCGTATATTGTTTTTTTCCCACAATTAAATTATAATAACAATGAGTTTCCTATGTTATTGAGTTTAGTAGGCTAATTATGTGCAAACGCAGATGTTTTACATGTCTAAAGCATACAAAGAGAATAAATTAGTCTCAAGCTAACTAAATTAGTCTCAAACTAACTCAAACTTTTAACCTTTGTAAAACTAACTGCCAATCACTGAGATGTTTCCTGTATCCAAAATTGCATACTTCCCTACACTAGCCTATTGGCAGTGAAGACAAAAATTACACTGGTAGGTCACTTGATAACGACAGATTATGTATGAATGTAGTACGTAATGATTACATACTATACAGAGCATACTTTTTTATTGGTCACAAAGTAATTACTTGGGCCTACTCAAAATAAGTACCTGCTCAAGAGAGTGTGTAATTTTTAATGCAGCCCCAGTACACTCATCGCGTTTACGAAATTCTGGGCTCTATCATACATTCGGTGCAATGCGGCGCTAGGCGCGACGCAACTGTTTTTTGCTAGTTTCAGCCCGACGCAGTAATAATTTTCACGTCCTGCGCCACGTTGTTTAAACAGCAAATGCATTTGCACCCATTTGTGCACTCATGGGCGTGCTGGTCTGAAAACGAGGTGTGTTCAGGCGCATTGCTGGCACATTGCTATTTTGAGGCAACTGAAATAGACTGAGCCATTGACCAACTAAAACCTGGTCTAAAGTCAATGGCGCAGTAGTTTTTTTTGTTCTTTAAAGAGTGCATTAGTATAGGCAGGTGCATAACGCGTGTACACTTTGCTTATTATACACACAGGGACGCGCAGCAGCACACAAACATGCCAAATATGAAAAATTAAAGGATTACAATGTAAAAGATTATTATTGGGTAGGCTACATAAATATAAAAATGCCTACATGTCATAATGGATAGTCATTGCATGTATCAGAATTAGGCTACCTATTTGCTCGTGCACGAGCAGCTCCGTTTCCTCTCTGGAGAAGCATTCTGTCTTTGCACTTGCAAATTCCGCCGTGTAAATAGCGAATCCGCCATGGCGCGTGCGTAACTGGCTCTTAAAGGGAATGGGAGATGAGACTCTGATTGGTTTATTGCACGTTATGCCCAAAACACACCCCTTACTCATTAAGAGATTAGGGACAACCCTTTTAGACCATGCACCGGGTGCACCGACCGTTTTTCCCATCGTTAAACTAGCAAAAGTGGATTCGCACATGCCCTAAGTGCACCTGCACCGTGCGCTTTAGACCTTTCGCTTAGATCGTTAAAATAGGGCCCTCTGACTTGTAAGCGCAAAAGTCATTGCTAACTCGTTAAAGTTTATGAACTTGAATTTTATTGTGCTCATATTTGTCATATGGAGCCCAGGAAGTCACCTGTAAGTCACCTTCGCAATCCGAAAGGTTTCCCAAAGGGAACGAATCTATTTGCTCGCGCACGAGCAGCTCCGTTTCCTCTCTGGAGAAGCATTCTGTCTTTGCACTTGCAAATTCCGCCGTGTAAATAGCGAATCCGCCATGGCGCGTGCGTAACTGGCTCTTAAAGGGAATGGGAGATGAGACTCTGATTGGTTTATTGCACGTTATGCCCAAAACACACCCCTTACTCATTAAGAGATTAGGGACAACCCTTTTAGACCATGCACCGGGTGCACCGACCGTTTTTCCCATCGTTAAACTAGCAAAAGTGGATTCGCACATGCCCTAAGTGCACCTGCGCCGTGCGCTTTAGACCTTTCGCTTAGATCATTAAAATAGGGCCCTCTGACTTGTAAGCGCAAAAGTCATTGCTAACTCGTTAAAGTTTATGAACTTGAATTTTATTGTGCTCATATTTGTCATATGGAGCCCAGGAAGTCACCTGTAAGTCACCTTCGCAATCCGAAAGGTTTCCCAAAGGGAACGAACTGCGAAAACTTGCGGTTTGTAAAAAAGTTTGAAAAGTTACAGTTTGTTAATTTGGCTGCAGATCGCAAAAACCGAAGGTACGGTTTATAAATCTCAGAGCACAGATTGGGAACTTGTGGGTAGGGTTTATTAGCTGGGCAAGATTTGTTAAACCGAAGAGTTTAAGAATTTTGGGAGTATAGTTTATTAACCATACGAGGGGGGACGAATTGCAAAACTGTGGACACGATTTGTGGGGTTTTTTTTGTTGTTGTTGTTTTTCCTCCCTCATCTCATGATTACTTTAAGCCTGTCTTGGCATCGTGTAGATAACTAAAACCGGTGCTACTTTTGTGTATCTTTATTGCATCACAAACACATTCTCATTTGAGAAAAAACGCAACTGGTGCCATCTTGCATTTCAGTTACCGACTGAATCGAAAATAACCTCAGAAGACCTGAGTTTTAGCCTACTGTAAAGTTGTCGCAGTGTTAATCTTGTTGCTAAGCCGATTGTTTTGTACATTGTAGTATCGGAACATGAAAACAAGACACCAGTGCTCTGACTCTACTGTAGGCTACATTATTTCTTAGTAAGACATTTAAAGGAATTATGAATGCACACGTGGTCACCTGGGGGATATTAAATGACCTTGTCAATTCAAGAGCACCAAC